GAACCCTCCCTCCCACTCTGTTGCTGAGAATGCAAGCTGGTGTAGCCACTCTGGAAAACAGTACGGAGGTTCCTCCAAAAAGTGAATATAGAGCTACCCAACGACCCAGCAATTGCAATACTAGGGATTTACCCCAAAGATAGAAATGTAGTGATCCGAAGGGGCAACTATATCCCAATGTTTATAGCAATTTTATGTATTTGAGAATGAGAGATAGAGACAGTGCACGAGTGGGGGTAGGGGCCGACGGAGAGGGAGCAGCAGACTCGCACTGAGCAGAGAGCCTGAAGCGGGGCTTTACCCCAGAACCCTGGAATCGTGACCTGAGCTGAAGACAGACACTTAACTGACTGAACCACCAAGGCACCCCTCAGTACCCTACTTTAGACCCCATTTTGGGCATTCAATGAAAGGATACCTTTTACAAGAAAGGTCTAAGTAAGAACATTCTAGATGGGAATACTTGTAATATACAGTTGATCCTTGACCAACATGTGTTTGAATGGTACAGGTCTACTCTACTTACACATGGACTTTTTTCGATACTGCATCGTAGTGTATTTTCTCTTATGTTTTTCTCAATAACATTTTCTTCGCTAGCTTATTTTATTGTGAGAATACAGTACATAATACATGTAATGTACAAAACATGTGTTAATGGATTATTTAATGTTATGGGTAAGGCTTCCAGAAGAAAGAGAAATCAAGTCGAACTAGGCTATTAGTAGTTTAGTTTTTTAGATCCCATGCATAAGTGAAATCATACGGGTATTTGCCTTTCTCTGAGTTATTTTACTTAGCAAAACACTGGGTCTACCAGTGTTGTCACAAATGGCAAGATCCCATTCTTTTTTATAGCTAATATTTCATTGTATACATATAACATATCTTCTTTATCCATTCGTCTGTTGATGGACCCTGAGGTTGCTTCCATACTCTCGTTATTGTAAGTAACGTTTCAAAAAACACAGGGGTGCATACAACTTTTCGAATTAGTGTTTTCATTTTCTTTGGGTAAATCTCAGGAGTGGAATTACTGAATTGTATCGTATTTCTATTTTTAATTTTTTGAGGAACCATAACACTTTTTGACAGTAACATTATATTCAGGATTTAGACAACGAATAATCTGACAACATTACTAGACAGGCCTTGTAAAATTAATGACTCAATACCACTTGATGGGAGAAACATTTATTGAAGCAATTTTATAATACCATTAATAAATACTATGTAAAATATAAACCACTTTTTCATATGACGTGACTTAAGGAACTACCAACGTAATGTTATTATCTTTTCCCCAAAGCTCGTTTCCTAAATATTTACTTCTGTGACCTTTGTTTATTTCCAGGTGAGAATTGTGCTTAGATAGCAGAAATAGCTTTAAGTCCATTAATAAATAGAACACATTTGCAATTTTATTTATACTTTTCCACTTATCAAAGATACAGGAGGGTAAGAAAATTATACACAGAAAAACAATGTACAATGTATCAGCAAATTTTAATTTGAAGAATTATTAACTAGAAGGATTTTCTCATAACTGTTCGTTTTCAAACTATGCCCACAGAAATCTAAGGTTCCACTGGGGACACAGCAGGATTGAGGGAAAAGGAAGTCTACAGGTGTAGTCCCATCTCTCCTTTAGCTGAACAGCTCTACCTGCCTCTGTTTTATATAATACAGTTTAATGCAAAAAAAAATTTTTTCCAAAGGTATAAAAGTCACTAACTTCGTCAAAGTCCCTAATCTTAAATACGAGACAAAAAGGCCCCAGAGAGATTGTAGTTTGCCTGAGGTCAAAAAACCACCTAGTTGCCAGCCGGGAATGTGGTGTAGGTCTTACTGAGCCTAGAGTTTTATGCCAGTTACTTCCTCATATTCAGGAACAACGCATGCATTTTCAACTATAACTCAGAGAATATGAATACATAAAACTTTGTCATGTGGCTCTATAATAATGTTCAGGCATTAGGCACAAAATAGCTTTCTAACTAAATTATAAATTTTAAAGTCATGAACAAAAATAGAGGAACAGAAGTTATCTTAACTCCTATTAGTAACAGTCAACATACGCAGGATTTACAAGCACAAAATGTTTTAACCAAAGGACAAGGAGCTTGAAGGAGAACATCTTTAGTTGAACCAAAGAACCTGAAACTGAGGAAATTTTTCCTTGAAAGAATTATCCATTTCCTTCAAATAAAACTTGGTTTGTCAAAATCAATCAACAAATGAGTTACCTATGTTGTGGGTTATTTATAACAAAATTTAAAACACAAAACAGATTTCTCTTTACCATCTAGCATGCTCTGACCAACCTCTCATCATTAGTTGGTATGTACAAAAGACATGATTAACTTTAATTATAATTTAAATCAAGTCAGAAATTATAGGTAAACCTTCATTTCCATGCGAGGACTTTTCTCTACCTGCCTCACGACAGGAAGGGAGATTTACCTAAAGGGTGAATTTGGGAGAAGGCACTAAGCAATGCCTACGTGGTTCCAAATCTCTTCTTTGAAAAGATGTGCCTGCCACAGTAACATGAATTCAAGTCTGCTCTCATCTTTGTGGGATGGGCATCAAACATTTGTTCCTTCCATTACAACTGTGTGTGGAAGCGTCTAATTTGGGATAAAGTACTGGGAAGCTCGCTGTAGCTACATACCTAAACCATATCCTCCTATTTGTTTGTATGTATTAGTAATAAAGTTACTAAGCTTATCTCCATCTGCCTGACTCCTGTGTTCTCAACTCAGAAAGAGAAGAGCAATGTCATCTGCCACCTACTCCACCACAGTTCCAACAAGAAAAATGACCAGACAACACTTAAAATGTTTTCTCCTTCCTTGACTTTATAACTAACATTCATTGTTCAAAGCAACATACTTGGAAGAGGGAAAAAGCTGGAAAAGAACAATTTCAGAAATAAACATACAAAGTCAGACAAAATGAGGAGACAGAGGAGTATGTTCCAAATGAAAGAACAATAAAACACTTCAGAAAAATAACTAAATGAAACCGAGATAAGTAATCTACCTGATAAAGAGTTCAAAGTAATGGACATAAGGATGCTCAGCAAACTTGGGAGAAGAATGGATGGATTCAGTGAGAACTTCAACAAAGAGAAAATATAAAGAAGAACCCATCAGAGCTAAAGAATACAATAACTGAAATGAAAAATACACCAGAGGGAATCGACAGCAGATTAAAAGCTGCAGAACAGATCCGTGATCTGCAAGACAGGGTACTAGAAATCCCCCAAGCCAAAAGGAAAAAAAAGAATTTTAAAAATGAGGACAGGCTAAGGGACCTCCTAGGATCGAGCCCCACATCAGGCGCCCTGATCAGGGAGCTTGCTTCTTCTCCCTTTCCCTCGGGCCTTCCCCTCCCACTGGTGTTCTCGCTCGCTTGCTCTGCTCTCTCTCTCTCTCATAAATAAATTAAAATTAAAAAAAAAAAAGGAGGGGTGCCTGGGTGGCTCAGTCGTTAAGTGTCCGCCTTTGGCTCAGGTCATGATCCCAGGGTCCTGGGATCGAGCCCCACATCAGGCTCCCTGCTCAGGAGGAAGCCTGCTTCTCTCTCTCCCACTTACCCTGCTTGTGCTCTCTCTCTGGCTGTCTCTGTCAAATAAATAAATAAAATCTTAAAAAAAAATAAAAAGGAAAGGCCATAACTAGAAGTAAAAAAATTATGAAGAAAGTTTTATTGGTAAAAGCAAACATCCAGTAAAGGTAATAGATCAATCACATTTATAAGGCCAGTACGAAGGTTAAGACAAAAGTAGTAATATCAATTATATCTACAGTAATTAGTTAAGGGATACACAAAATAAAAAGATGTAAACTAAGCCATCAAATAAATAAAACAAGGTGGGGTGTAAAAACGTAGTGTTTTTAAAATGTGTTTGAACTTAAGTAACCATCAACTTAAAATAAACTGCTATATACAAAGGATGTTACATATGAACTTCATGGTGATCACAAACCAAAAATCGAAAGGCATCCAAGCATAACACTAAAGAAAGTCCTCAAATTAGAAGGGAAGAGAGCAAGACAATAACGATGCCGAATGAAAGAACAAGACTGAGGCCTCATTTACCCTGAGCCTATGCTCCTTTTGTCTACGTTAATAAGACCATGAATATACCATCAAAACCATAAACCTATGTGCATTCATTGAAATGGATATTTTAATAACAATGATACACAATGGAAACTAGCTGCTATTTAAAGACTCCCTATCATTCCCATATTAGTCATCAATCATTCAAGTGATGGCAAGGTAGATATACGTGAACTTTTTTTAAAAAATTCAAATTGTGGGGCGTCTGGGTGGCTCAGTCAGTTAAGTGTCTGATCTTGATTTTGGCTCAGGTCATGATCTCAGGGTTGTGAGACTGAGCTCTACATGGGGCTCCGCACTGAGCATGGAGCCTGCTTACCCTCTGCTCCTCACCCCCTGCCTGTACTCCCTCTCTGAAAAAAAAAAAAAAAAATCAAATATTTGCTTGATTTAGCTACTTAGAAAATGCTCTACAACTGCTCAACAAGACATTTTGTAAAACGTGAAACAAGTGTTATAAGTAAAAAAAAAAAAAAAA